AGCAGGCCATACACACCAGGCGTGCTGTGTTGGGCTCACTTCCATTCCCTGGCCTCTGTCCAGGGTTGGGCAGCAGAAGCAGGCCCAGGAACTGGGGAAGCCAGTGGAGAGGACACCGTGCATTTTGTTTATTAAAGCTAATTGGTGAATGCAGGCCCAGGGAAGCCTATGATTCATTAGCATCCTGATTAATATGCAGCTGCTGAGTATTAAGAAAAATGAAATAGAAAGGACTAAATCCCCAAAGGAGAGGTTGGAAAAATAAAGAAGCTCTCGGCAGACATCTGATGCAGGCCTTTGTCCCACACAAAATTTGAATTAGTTGAATTCAAGTGATTTTTCACCATTTGCAGAGCTGCCATGAAAACCAGTTCCAGCTTCATCCCTTGAGCCTTAGAAAGGAGCATCTCGAAACTGTTAGCAGCTCAGGCAGGCGGTGAACAATTACAGAAAAAGAAACACCTGGCGGTATCATTGATTTTTAACCTGAGGTCCTTAAACTCTTGAGCAATCCAGGAGAGGTTGAGACAAGGCAAACTAGGGGTAAAAGGAGGCCTGCAAACAGGAATATCAGAACCACCTCTGTCAGTGGCTCATTCACTTAGGTATCCAGCAGACATTTAGGAAGGCTTTGGGGGACTGGAAAGCAGAGACGAGCAGGATGAAGGCTGTGCCCTCCAGCTGGTATGTGCACTAAGGGGGAACCAGTGTACCTAAGCTATGATAGCGTTGTGACCAAGAGCAGTGTAGTGCAGGAAGGGAAGTTCCAAATGTCACTTCTGTGTGAAGGAAGCAGAAAGGGAAAGTCATCCAGGAAAAGGGTGATGGATTTGGAGAAATTGTGGAAGGTTCCAGATTGCCAGAGATGTAGTGGGCAGCAGAAAACTGTAAGGCTGGAATGAGGGTGCAGGCCCAGATGCTGGAAAGCCTCATCTGCTGTGTGAAGGAATATAGACTTGACCTATGGCTGCTAGGAGACCACCTTAGGCTGTCAGGTAGGATTAGGAGATGGAATTGCAGTTGTGAAGGTCACTAGGGCTCAGATGAGAAATGATAGACATGGAACTGCAAAGGGTGATAAATTGGGGGAGATTCGGGTGGTGGAAATGAGAGCATTTCAAGGATGTGGAGGAAGAGAGAAGCCAGACTCCAGGCAAAGTTGGAGTCTGAGATGCCTGGGGACAGCCCTGTGGAGAAGAAGCCTGTGGCAAGGTGTACATGTACATCATCAGGAGCTCAGGAGAGAGATATCAGCTGGGGATGGGCTGGGGGTGGTAAACTGGGTGGATCACCAAAGTGTGGCTGGTATTGAAAGCCATTCATTTATTCAACCCATTTATTATTCCTCCCATGAGATCCTGAAGACCTGAATGAGACATGGCCCAGCCCTCCAGGAGTCCAGCAAAGGCTGAGTGACACTATAGGCACTATGCACTTAAGTCAAGCCCAGGAGAACTTTATAGAGGAGCAAATCTTTGGTGGGAAAAGGGACTGCCCAGGCACACCAGGCTACAAGCCTACCTTTGGAGAATGACAGGCTGTTCACTGTGGAGGGGCGAGTGGGAGATGAGCTGGACAGGCTACAGGGAGGAGCCGTGCAGGCCTTATTACCCAGCAAGGGTTGGAACGGGGGTGTTCAAGAGGGCACAAAGGGAAGAGAGCAGAGGCCCAGGCAGGATCTGTTTCCACACAATGGGAATAGCAGGGAAATATTTCAGCTGCTGCCAAGAGGTTCAGGGTGTTGCCCAGGAAGGCAGCAGTACTGGAGGTCGCCGGGAAACCCAAGACCAGGTTCTCTTAAGTCCTCTGCTCCATTTTCATCCTGCAAAGCATGGCCATTCTTTTTTTTTTTTTTTTTTTTTTTGGCACTGAGAATTGAACCCAGGGGCACTTAACCACTGAGGTACATCCCCAGCCCTTTTTTGTATTTTATTTTTAGATAAATAATACAGGGGCTCGCTGAGTCACTTAGGGCCTCACTAAGTTGCTGAGGCTGGCTTTGAACTCATGATCCTCCTATCTCAGCCTCCCAAGCCACTTGGATTACAGGTGTGTTCCACTGCCTGCCAGCTGTTCTCTTAAAAGCCATCCACTCTAATCTCCACTGAATCCAGATAACACAACATCAAAATGTTGAAATGCCTGTCCCGGCTCTGAATGAGTCTCTTTTGCTTACCCCTGGGAAAGAAAAGTAACTGTGGGCTCTAAGGTCAGGAACTCCTCAGTAAATTTTTGTCCCACTCCAAAATGTCTTTAAAAAATGCCTAGAAAGCAATGCTTTACTGTGTGTTTTTCTATAGCCAACTTTGCTATAGACTCTGTTGTCTTATTGGAAGCACTTTCCTAGCTCGGTGAATTCATTGGCAATTTTGTCTTGCCTTGAAGGAGGATGAGCTTGCGTTGTGTGAAGCCAGGGGAGGGAGAAATGGGGAGGTCCGGCTCCTTCATTCCTGCCAACAGACAATGGAGCACTGGGTGCTGGAAGCATGGATAGAAACAGGGCACAGTCCCCTGGGATTTACAGGCATGAGGAGTGACAAATAGAAGCAGCAATATAGATTTGCAGGGGGTCATGGATTTTTCTTTTTTTTTTTTTTTTTTGGTACTGGAGACTGAACCCAGGGGTACTTGACCAATGAGCTACATCCCCAGCCCTGTTTATTTATTTATTTATTGGGGATTAAACCCAGAGGTGCTTTAATTTGTTTATTTTGAGACAGGATCTCACTAAGTTGCTTAGGGCCTAATTTGCTGAGGCTGGCCTCAAATTTGTAATCCTCCTGCCTCAGCCTTCCAAGCTACATGCGCTACCACATGTAGCACATAGACAACTTTTAAGCAGGTCAAACATTGGGGTCTAGGTAGGTCTCAGAGGTCAAGTCAGGGAGCAAGTGCAAAGAAAAAGAGGCAAGATACAATCTGGCAAGGGACACATGAGGACAAAGTCACAGCCAAAGCCTGGGTCTAGGATTTGCATGCAAATAACCACCCAGGCTCTGGATCATCAAGGTTCCACAGTGTTGTATTCTGAGCTAAAATGTAGAATTTAGGCAGGCAGGAGACTGAAAGCCAAGAAAAAGTTTATGGAGAAAGCATCCAAAAATGAAGATATATTTTCCTAAGTGCAGATACTCTTCTATTTACAATGGGGTTATGTTGTAATAAGCCCATTGTAAATTGAAAATATTGTCAGTCCAAGGCCCTGGGTTCGATCCTCAGTACCACATAAAAAAAAAAAAAAAAAAAGTAAATAATAGCATTGTACCCAACTACACCTAAAAAATAAATATTTTTTTAAAAAAAGGATTGAGGGGGTGCTGGGGTTGTGGCTCAGTGGTAGAGCGCTCATCTAGCACGGCTGAGGCACTGGGTTCGATCCTCAGCACCACATAAAAATAAAGTAAAGGTTACTGTATCCACCTACAACTAAAAAATATATTTTTAAAAATGCATTGAGGGCTAGAGGCAGAGCTAGAGTTAATATTGGAGAGGCCCTGGGTTCCATCCCCAGCACCAAAAAAAAAAAAAAAAAAAGAAAGGAAAGGAAAAGAAGGAAATGCACAGAGTGCACCTAACCTGTGGAACATCCTAGCTTGGCAACATAGCGCATATAGAGTGCTGGTTGTTTCCCCTCGTGTTCTCTGCTGTCCTTGGCTGTAAGGTAACAATCATGAGTGGACCAACCCCAGAGTGGTGGTGAGGATGCAGAAAGACAAGGCATGTAGCTTAGTGTGGCGCCTGGCAGGTGGGAAGTGCTTAAGCTAAGGGCTTGGGATGTAGCTCAGTAGTAAAGCAGTCCTGGGGTTCAATCCCCAGTACCAAAAAAATAATAAGAAATTTGTACATACACACTTTGTGTGTGTGTGTGGGGGGGGGGGTGGCTCTGGGAATGGACTCCAGTGTCTCCCATCTGCTAGACAAGTGCTCTACCACTCAGCCACACCCCACCATAAATATAACTTCTATGTGTTGTGTGATACTGGAGATTGAACTCAGGAACATTCTACCACCTAACTACATCCCCAGCCCTTTCATTTATTTTATTTTGATTCAGGATCTCAATAAATTGCTGAAACAGGCCTCAAGCTTGTAATCCTCCTGCCTTGGACTTCTAAGCAGCTGGGATTACAGACATGCACCACAATGCCCAGACCTGCTACCAGGGATTGAATTCAGAGGTGCTTAACCACTGAATCACATCCCTAGCCCTTCTTATTTTTTTATTTTGAGTCAGGGTCTAGTGGAGTTGCTGAGGCTGGCTTTGAGTCACCAGGATTACAGGTGTGCACCACCAGGCCTGGCTTAATTATAACTTTTCTTGGTGGGGGGAGTTCTGGGGTTTGAACTTAGGGGCACTTGACCACAGAATCACATCCCCAAGTCTAATTTGTGTTTTATTTAGAGACAAGGTCTCCCTGAGTTGCTTAGCACCTCGCTTTTGCTGAGGCTGGCTTTGAACTTGAGATCCTCCTGTCTCAGCCTCCTGAGCTGCTGGGATCACAGGTGTGCATCACCTGCCCAGCTTAAAATGAAATTTTTTAAAAAGGGGCTGAGGACACAGCCAGTGATAGAACACTAGCTCTGCTTTCAATCCACACAGAACTGGGGGGCAGGGCAGTTGGTGTAATAAAACAACAGCAACAGATCCTGTCTTGGAACCTTGGACATACTTAGTTTGCACCTCTGGGTCTGTTTTCTCAATTATTAAATGGGATGCCAACTCCATTCTTCAGGGCATGAATGAAATAACTTAAGGAAATTGCCAGGAATGCCTTACAGGGTCAATAACTTTAGGGCTTTTCCCACTGTAGAGCTCATTCAGATAAGTCTGTCTTTTTTCCCTCCAGTTCTGAGGCTTCATGCATGCTAAGCTCACACTGTACCACTGAGCTACATCCCCAGACCAGATCAGCCACTCTTGGGAGAGAGTCTGGGTCTGATCTCAGTTTCCTGTACTACATGAAGTCAGGTTTCTGGCCCTTGTGTGTCTCTACCTCCAGTGCCAACCGCCAGCTGCCCGCGCTGGAAGGAAAGCCAGTACCCTACTTCTCCTCTCTGGAGTCAAGCATTGATATCCTGAAGAAAAGAGCCCAGGAACTGATCGAAAACATCAACGAGAGCAGGCAAAAGGATCATGCACTCATGACCAACTTCAGGGACAGCCTCAAGATCAAGGTGACAGACTTTCCATAATGGGACTGGGGGTGTTCCTCATATAAAAGGGGAGGGAAGGCACCTTAGCTGGGCTCTGTTACATTCTAGGTACTGTGCTAGGCAATTCACACACAGTATCTCATTCTACCATTACAACAATCAAGAGATGGGACCCATTTCAGACGAGAAAAGTAAAGTTTAAAAATAAATCATCTAAGCCGGGCGCAGTGGCGCACGCCTATAATCCCAGCATCTGGGAGGCTGAGACAGGAGGATCATGAGTTCAAAGCCAGCCTCAGCAATGGTGAGGTGCTAAGCAGCTCAGTAAGACCCTGTCTCTAATGAAATGCAAAATAGGGCTGGGCATGTGACTCAGTGGTTGGTGCCCGAGTTCAATTCCTGATACCCTTAAAAAAAAAAAAATACAAAATAGAGCTGGAGATGTGGCTCAGAGGCCAAATATGCCTGGGTTCAATCCCTGGTACCCCAATAAATAAGTGATTTGGGCTGGGGGTGTGGCTCAGTAGTAGAGCACCTACCTAGCATACATGAGGCCCTAGGCTTGATCCTCAGCACCATCAAATTAAAAAAAAAAAAAAAATTTTACTTTAAAAGAAAATAAAAGGCTTAGTTGGTAGAACTCTTACCTAGCATGCGCAAGACCCTGGGCTCAATCCCCAGCATCACCAAAAATAGAAAAGAAAAAGGAAAAATGATTTGCCCTAGTGAGGGAACCAGGTCCATCTGCCAAACCCAGCCTCTCACCTCACACAAATGTGAACAGCAGCAGGAGTAGGAACCATTAATAGCTCATCATACCTGTGTGCTCTGGAAGTTGTCAGTGGTTTGTGACAGGACAGAGGTTCCCCCAACACTCCTGGGGCTTATGTCTGACACAGCCTGATGTTATGCTCAGGTCTGACATTAATGGTTGTGCCTCTTAAGAATTACAGTAGGCAGAGTCCATGAACTTGCAGTGCTCCTGGGTCCCTTAGTCAGACCTTTTTATTTTCAAATTCCATCTAGTCATTCTTTGGTATCTACAGTAGGATTTATTCCAGGACCCCCAAAATATATCAAAATGTATGGATGTTCAAGTCTCTTATGTCAAATGGTGGAACAATTTTATAGAACCTGCACACATCCTCCTATCGACTTCACATCATCCCTAGATGACTGTTAATATTGAATACGATGTAAATGCCATGTAAAGAGTTGTTATACTCTAATGTTTAGGGAATAATGACAAGAAAAAGTCTGTACATGTTCAGTCAGATGTAATTGTTCAAATATTTTTAAATTTTGTTGTGGTTGTAGATGGAGAGAATGGCTTTATTTTATTTGTTTATTTTTATGCAATGCTGAGGATCGAACCCAGTGCCTCATGCATGCTAGGCAAGTGCTCTACCACTAAGCTACGGCCTCAGCCCCTTGTTCAAATATTTTTGATCCATGGGGTGAATCCCTGGATGTGGAACTAGCAGGTGTGAAGGGCTGACCGTACCTACTCTTGTTTGCAGTGGTAGAGATGGAACCCAAGGCTCCTGAGTGCTAGGCAAGTGCTCGACCACGAGCTGTTACCCCAGCTGTTACCTGTACTTTAGCATTTTGGTTTTTTTTAATACTTTTTTTTGTTTTTTTTTAATATTTTATTTTATTTTTTTAGTTCTCGGTGGACACAACATCTTTGTTTGTATGTGGTGCTGAGGATCGAACCCGGGCCGCACGCATGCCAGGCGAGCGCGCTACCGCTTGAGCCACATCCCCAGCCCAGCATTTTGTTTTAAAAAATGAAAAATTTAATATGTAGGCAATTTTACTTCTATCACTGGAATTCTTTGTACCATTTTAATAAATTGCAGAATTCTAAAAGACCCACTTAGAACAGATGTATAGTATGCTGCTTGTTTGATTTTCCAAGAACACTTTTCTTTTAAAGGTCACCGATCTGACAGAGAAGTTAGAGGAGAGAATGTACCAGGTTTACAACCACCACAGCAGGATCATCCAGGAGAGGCTCCAAGAGTTCACCCAGAAAATGGCAAAGATCAGCAATCTGGAAACAGAGCTCAAAGAAGTCTGCCACACTGTAGAGTCCGTGTACAAAGACCTGTGCGTCCAGCCTGAGGTGGGAGTGACATCCTCACAGGGTGGGGCTGGGGGCTGTCCTGAGGAAGGGGACTTGTAATGGCTAAACTGGGAGTGAATGTGGACAGGAGTCCACTGCCCAGCCCTAACAACAGGGCCACACGCCCTACAGAACCCTGTGGCCCCCAAAACAGTGTGTCCAAGCTGAGAAACCAAACCACTGTCACTTCTCATCACTGTGTGGCTACAGAAAGGACAAAGTGTCATCCTGCCAGTCGGCAACTGTTCCCTCTACCCACAGCGCTGAGCCCTGCAGCCTGGCATATGCCCTGGGGCCTAGGAAGTGCCTCATCCAAGTTTATTGATTACAGCAGATCCTAGACTCAGAAATGGGCCAGGCCACTCCAGTGCAAGGTCCCCGCCCTATTCCAACAATTCAAAGCCCCCAGCTTTGTTGCCCTCTCCCCTGAGAAACTCCCCAAACTTCTTTGCAGTGGTTACCAGTAGTTACCAGTAAACATGGCCGAACACTGTGGGGTCAGCTGTGCAGGCTCTTTATTCTCCTTTCCCTTGTTCTGCTCCAGTATCCAACATAAATAAGGCACTGCCCCGGGATGGGAGGGTAGGAAGGCACAGTGAGCCCCGAAGCACCCTCTTGGGGTCTGGGGTCTGCTCAGGGCAACTCGAGGTTGGTCTTGATGAAGTTGCTACAGAGTCATTCTCCTCCTCCTCCCTGCTCCACCCCATCAGGAGAAGCTTCTGTCTTAAGGTAAATGGAATCTGACCTCATCCACAGTTAAAAGTGAATCGAGAAACACTGAGAATCCCATCTTCTTTTTAAGAAACACTTCTGGATGATTTCCAAAGGGAAACTTTGATATTTAAAAATCAGTATGTCAGTAGTTCCCATCATACAAGTTGGGTCCATTTACCACCATCTACAGCACAGTGGTCCCAGGGTTCAGCCAAATATCTCTCCAGGAAGGGGCTTCAGAGCATCCAGGTCCTCCAAAGAAGTGGGTTCACTTGCCAACTGTAAACGCCTGAATTCCTGTGATTGCTCTTCCAAGGATCAGAGCGTGAATGTCATGTGTACCTGGACGAGATTAGTAAAGAGTGGGCTTGGAGTCTTAGAACCTGTGACTTCCCTTTAAAGTTAGTCTTCATGTCCCCCTAGGTCACAATTCCAGAAGAACAGACCTACAGAGATGATGAATGCTAACCACTGCTGGGAGATTCACTTACATCTTAGTGACAGCCACCAAGAGGCCATTGTTGGGCCATGCAGAGAAGATTGTTTTTCATAGTTCTGTAACATATTTTGGCCAAAACAATAAAAAGATAACCCAAGTTCCTTGTGCTAGATCCAGTAATGCAGCAAGTCTAGCCCTTGCTATGGGCCCAGCCTTAGTGCTCCCCACTCTTGGCAAATTCGCCCCACCCCACACGATGCCCCAGTTGATTAAACATTTGATTTTCAATCCAGCCATGCCTCCCATGACAGAGGCTGAGCCTTTTGGCTATGTGAAAATACGACGACTCTTTCCCATCCCCAGGAGGGACAGGAAAACAATATCAGAAAGCAGTCACTCGTCCAGGCTGATCCCCCAGCCTGAAGCTGTCCCTCCTAGAGTGGCCCACATGACCTTCCCCAGCTTTCAGCAGGCAGAGGCAGAGACTAGGCCTCCCTTTTTTTTTTTTTTTTTTCCTTCCTGTATTTTTTTTTATTGGTTGTTCAAAACATTACAAAGCTCTTGATATATCATATTTCATACATTAGATTCAAGTGGGTAATGAACTCTCATTTTTACCCCGTATACAGATTGCAGAATCACATCGGTTACACATCCACGTTTTTACATATTGCCATATTAGTGACTGTTGTATTCTGCTATCTTTCCTATCCTCTACTATCCCCCCTCCTCTCCCCTCCCATCTTCTTTCTCTACCCCATCTACTGTAATTCATTTCTCTCCCTTGATTTTTTTTCCCTTTCCCCTCACATCCTCTTATATGTAATTTTGTATAATAATGAGGGTCTCCTTCCATTTCCATGCAATTTTCCTTCTCTCTCCCTTTCCCTCCCACCTCTCGTCCCTGTTTAATGTTAATCTTTTTCTCAGGCTCTTCCTCCCTGCTGTTTTTAGTTGCTCTCCTTATATCAAAGAAGACATTTGGCATTTGTTTTTTAGGGATTGGCTAGCTTCACTTAGCATAATCTGCTCTAATGCCATCCATTTCCCTGCAAATTCCATGATTTTGTCATGTTTTAGTGCTGAGTAATACTCCATTGTGTATAAATGCCACATTTTTTAATCCATTCATCTATTGAAGGGCATCTAAGTTGGTTCCACAGTCTAGCTATTGTGAATTGTGCTGCTATGAACATCGATGTGGCAGTATCCCTATAGTACACTCTTTTAAGGTCTTCAGGGAATAGTCCAAGAAGGGCAATAGCTGGGTCTAGGCCTTCCTTTTACAGAGTCGAATCGCACTGTTGACTTCCCAAAGCCTACTTCTGACCCCTCCCTCTGCTGTATAAGACCCTGTGCAGGTCCCTCTGCTTATCCTCAGGGTCATCCTCACACTGTGGGATCCCCCACCCTTGCTTGACAGAAACAATATGTGGGGCTGCAGGACCTCCCCTTGGTTCCTTAGTCTGGGGGTGCGTTGGGAAGACATTCATTCCCACACATGCCATCTCTTCTGTCTAAAAGCTTCTTGGCGTGGGGAACTCTATTTCTACATGGCTTGCAATGGACTGTGCTTTTTTTTCCATTTGTTTATTTATTGGTTCCGGGATTTAGTGTCCAGGGGCACTCAACTACTGAGCCACATCCCCAGCCCTTTTTGGTATTCTGTTTAGAGACAGGGCCTTGCTGAGTTGCTTAGCATCTCACTAAATTGCTAAGGCTGGCTTCGAACTTATGAGCCTCCTGCCTCAGCCTCTGGAGCTGCTGGGATTACAGGCATGCGCCGCCACACCCAGCCCCCCCTTTTTTTTTCCTTTTCAATTATCTTTTCTTTACATCTGTCTTCCCACCGAGTCAGGAGTCCAGGACCCAGTGTGAGCAATATCCAATTGCAAGGTGCAAACATCACAGTCTACAAATGACTTTTCTTTATCTCTGAACATCAAGTAGGATGGTAATTCCTGTATGTTGCTTCACCCTCTCTCCCTTGCACCCCCAGCCCTCAGGGATTGCCCTCACTCTGGGGATGCCTGTGGAGGCTGTCCATCAGTCTGAGGAACACCCTTCTCCTTAGCACAATGGGAGAAAGGGCCAGAAGTCCACATAGGGCCTGCTGGGACCTCGATGCCATGCAGTGTGTGGCCACATGAGCAACTTTGGATGAGAGACAGAGGCCCGTGACTTGACCCCCGTCACACTGCCACTTGCTGATAGCTGGAGTAGGATGCAAACATTGTCCCAAGACACTGAGAAGGCCACTGTGACACCCCACCCCTGTCCCAGCCAAGGGTCCAGCCCCTACCTTCATAGGTGTTCACAGCCTCCAGGTTCATGGCATGCCGGATCACATGATACTCATCAGAAATCCCATTCCCCCCAAGCATGTCTCGGGCCTGGCGGGCAATGTCCAGGGCTTTCCCACAGTTATTCCTCTTCAGCAGGGAGACCATTTCCGGGGTGGCCCTGGAAGTGGCACATACATGTAACAAGCAACAGTTACAAAGAACTGATGCCCTGAGCAAACCCAGCCAGTGGGAGGGTGAACTCCCTAGTGTAGCCACCAAGCTCCCAATAAGGGACCAAGGCCATTCCTGGCCCAGTCCATGAAGGCCAAGAGAAAGAGAAGCATGGGTCCCTGGAACTATTAGGGAGGAAGGGCCTTCTTCCCAGGAGGGGCACAGAGTCCTCCCACCATAGCTGCCTCCCCCAATTTGAGGCCCCTACTTGTCCTGATCCTTTAAGCGGCCAAGCTGCAGGCAGGCATGGAGGCCCAGTGTGATCTCAGTGAGCATGTCTGCCAACTTCTTCTGAATTAGTTGATTCCTGGCCAATGGTACACCAAACTGGATCCTGAACAGGTAAGATCAGGTAAGGGCTGGAGGGATGCCCACTCCCTGGTCTCATCCCAAGGCCCCACTGTTCCAGGAAGCCCACCTGTCCCTGGAGCTCACCATGGCCCAGCTGTGGACTCAGCCCTTCACTGCGCAGAAGGAATTCACAGAGAAGGGCAGGAACTGGAGAATCACCACTGGGTACAAGATGGATCCCAAGACCCCTCACACCCCCAGGAATCTCACAGCATAAATGCCACACACACCTGTCCAGGGTGTACTGCCGGGCTGTGTGCAGACAGAACTCGGCGGCTCCCAGCACGCCCCACGTGATGCCATATCGGGCATTATTGAGGCAGCCGAAGGCACCCTGTAGGGTTGAGGGTGGTGGGGCTGAGGTGGTGGGTTAAGGGTGGTGGGTGCAGAACCAACTCTGAAGCAGGGGAAAACTCCCTCCCAGACACCCCAGACAGGGACCCAGCAGCCATTTAAATCACACAGGGCCCTGGCAGCAAAGCTCCGGTGCAGCAGGCCTGGCCCGGTGCCTGCCCACTCTGGATCTGCGCACTCCTACCCAGCCTGGGACCTGGATTCAGAGCTCAGACCTAGGAGGCTGGCATAGGGAGACTGAAAGATGACCATGACTACGAGGCTTAGGCTGGTGCAGGCCTGCAGGTGTCCTGGGCAGAACCAAGATAAGCAAGACGGTCAGCCAAAAAGGACATTATCACATTAGTGAGTCAGTTTGAGCCTCAGAATCACCACTCTATGCTCTATAAGCACAGGGACAGTGTGTGTGTTCAATCCTTGCCTGAGAAAGGTGAACCAGAAGGTGACCTGACACCAGTTTACCCAAGTGTCCACTACTCACCGCCAGGCCAGACACGTTGGGCAGCAGGTTCTCCTCTGGCACCTCCACACCATCCATGATGATCATGCCTGTGGCAGAAGCCCGCAGCGAGAACTTGCCTTCAATCTTGGGGGCTGAGAGGCCCCGCATCCCCTTCTCCAGAAGGAAGCCCCGAATGCGGTTGTCTTCACACCGAGCCCACACTACAAACAGGTCAGCCACAGGGGAGTTGGTAATCCTAGGGACAGGACAGTCAGTAAGAGGACTGGCTGCTGACCCCCTGCCCTATCCACCTGCCTGCCCAACACCCAGGCCTCTCACCAGGTCTTGGTCCCACTGAGAGTATAGCTCTTGTTAGATGGGTTATGGTGG